GAAATCGCGAATCAAAAACTAGATCTAGATCTACATTGAGAAATCGAGAAATAAAGATGAAAATTACCTCTAATAAGCTTCGATTTCCTCTCGAATAAGCTCTAGAAAGCTTCGATTTGCTCTCCAATTACGTCTAAAAGCTTCGATTTCGTTGCTAAGGAGATGAAAAGTGGCGATGGCGTTTAGGTTTTGGGAGAGAGAAGATTCAGAGCGTTCTTTTGTTCCAGGGGTAAATTTGTCCTTTCCGGATAAAATCGTGGCATTTTTGTAAAAGGCCCAGCGCGTGTGGCAGTTTTGCAAACTGTTGACCTATTTGTGGCATTTTTGTGATTTCCCCAATAAAAATTACAATAATGAATATATATTATTTATATTGTAATTAATTAGAAAGTAATCAAAATATTAAGAGCTTATATATAAAAATGTAAATGAAATAGAATTTTTTTTTTTGTTATTTATTGAAGCATCATAATTGTGTTTCAACGGATTGTCAGGAGGTTGAAGGTTTAAAAAAAAAGAGGATATATGATTTCACTAAAAAAAATTTTGAAAAATTAACTTTCACTAATAGATGAGAAAAAGATTTTATTCAAAAAGAGGATATTAAACAATTTCACTAAAGATGAGAAAATAAGGTGAAATTTTGAAATATAGATTTTATTCAAAATGTTATATTTGAGTTTTTTTTTGAAGTATAAAAAAAAAATATTGAAACTTTTCAAAAATGCCACTTTTTCTCATCTTTAGTGAAATTGTCACCTTTTCAAAATTATTTACTCATTATATGGATTAACTACGTTATATTAGTGACACACCAAAAGTAGGATTTTTACAATTATTCCTATAAAAAATTTTAAGTTTTGATACATATAAAATAAAAAATTAATAGTGACATTATTCATAAATTGTACAACAAAATATATGGGCAATGATATATGATCTTTATGTAAAAATATACGTAGTTCTACACCACAATCTAAGAAAAATACATATTTAATAATTTAATACTTCAGTCAATGCTTTTAACTCAAAAAATCTAGAAAATATAATTTAAAGTGTTTAACAATACGAAAAAAAAGATTATGTATAAATTAACTTTCTATATATTAATGTCTTATGAAAAAAATGACAAAAGTAAATATATTGATTTATGCGTTGCACGATTATAGTTAGAATATGTTTGAAGATTTAGATAGAGTTATATTGTAATAAAAAAAATATAATAATAAGTTCTCAAAACCTAAAAAATATTTATTTAAAATCTTATATTAACCATATGATATAAACTTTTAAATAAATATTAGAATGTGTTAATGAATGTAAAAAATATATTTATATACTAACATAAATACTTATCAATATACGCTATACATGATATAGGTACAAAATATAAGAAAACAGTAAAAAAAAAATCAAAAGAAACCAAATTCGCGCGACGCGTGTCGAACCGCTAGTCTATATAATAAGATTTCAGAACGTGTGACAAGAGGATTAGGTGA